AACAATGTAAAAAGAATGTAAAATGTCATCCACAATCCTGTCTTGATGGAACCATCTTCACTATTCCCTGCTGTTGTTAGATGCTATTGAGTGGTTGACTCATAGCAACCTTAAGAACACCTATCCTGTGCCTTCCTCAGCATCTCTGACACACTTGAGCCCATTGCTGTGTCAACCAATCTGGCTGAAAGTCTTCCTGTCTTTTGTCGTCCCTCTCTCTACCTTTTCAAGTACGATGTCCCTTTCCAAGGAATCTCCTCTCCTGGAAATATGACCCAAGTATCAATATTAACTGATGAATATTAATACTTTTCTCGTTGTGCATACATTTAGATAGATAGAAATGAGGACCATATCCTTTTTTGATGCTTATTGTTGTTGTGGGCCACTGAGTAAGAACTTACTCATAGCTGACCCTCCAACAGGTTTTCAGCTGTAAATTGCATGGGAGGAGAGTTCCCATCTTGGAGCAGCTTTGGGTTGGCAGCACAAGTCCTTACCACTAAGACATTAGAGTTCCCTTCTGAGGTTTATAAACTGACCACTTTGACATATTATATTAAGTCTGACTTAGTGCAGCTTATTTTCAGAAAACAAAAATTCAACCTTTTAATGTGTAGATTTCTATGAGTTCTGATAAAACCAATCATGTAAACTGAGCTCCATAATAATCAAGATAGAGACTGTGGCCGTGACCTCTTACTGTCTCTTGCCCCTTGTGGTCAATCATCTCTTCTCACAGATCCTGGAAACAGCTAGACTGAGTTTTTGTCTCTATAGTTTCACTTTTTCTCAAAAGCCTTATAAATGGTACATTAGAGGAGATACTTTTATGAATAGTTTCTTGCATTTAGTATAATGTGTTTGAAATTCTGCTTTTATTTATCACATAGCTGTGAAATTTCCATGAAGTCTGTACATGTTTATTGATGAATAATATATCCATTGAATAACTGTACTGTATCCACTTACTGACAATTGAGTTATATGAATTATTTTCAATTTATACTATTACAATAGAGTGGCTTTGGACATTCACATATAGTACTTCGTGCAGTCATGTGGTTTAATTTCTCTTGAGTAAAAAAATAAAAGCAGAATTGCTGTAAGCTTATTTAGCTGTATTAAAAAACTGGCAAGCTGTTTTCTGATATGACTGTTTCTCCATTCTCATTCATTCTTTGTATAAGAGCTCCAGCTTCTCTATTCCCCAGCAGCATTTGTATTATCCATTAAAGGGGAGAGGGAGAAATAGTCCCATTTTATGGTGTGTGATGGTATCTCATTACAGCTTTATCACCATTTTCCTAATTACTGTTACTAATCAACTTTTCCTTTTTTTGACATCCATATATTTTCTTTGATGAAGTATCTATTTACTCATTTGCTTTTTAAAAAAATGGAGTATTTATTTTCCTATAATTTAACTTTTAAAGTTGTTAATGTATAATAGATAAACATTATTTTCTTAATATGTGTTTTGCAAAGATGTCTTTGGTCTATAGCGTATTGTTTGTTTTTTTTTTTCTTTTGGCTACATCAAGATAATTAAAAAATTAAAAACTCACTAACAATTTCAGTTCATTAAGATTTTCTTATATCCCTCTTCCACATGTACACTGAGAGAACTTATATAGTATTAATTGGGTCAATCATGTAAAAGAAAGAAAAAACAATGCATCAGAGAGCTGGACAATGACCAAGGATGACAGAAAAAAAAATGTATTCCTTTGAGTTGTGGTCTGGAGAAGAGTCTTGAACATACCATGGACCATCAAGAAAATAAATAGGTCTGTCTTGGAGAATTTGAAATCAAGTTTCTCCTTGGAGGCTAGGATTTTTAAGTTCTGTCTCAAATTCTTTGGGCACATGGCCAGTTGGGACCAGTTCTTGGAGAAGGACATCATGTTTCGAAGGGTGGGGGGAAAGCACAGTAGAGGAAGACTCTGGATGAGATGGATTGATACAGTAACTGGGGCAATGGGGGTAGGTGTTGGAGTCAGTGAGACTAGCTCATGACAGGGCAGGTTTCAGAGATATTATATATATATAGGGTCACTATGAGTTGCAGGCAACTTGATGGCACATAACAACAACAGACAAGTTGTGCCTAAGGCTGAGAAAAATGGGAATTCCAGAACACTTAATTATGCTCTTGAAAAACCTATACCTGGACCAGAAAGCAGTAGCCAGAATAGTAGAGGGGAAACGCTGCATGGTTCAGGTTTAGGAAAGGTGTGCATCAGGGATGTATCCTATCTCTATACCTTTTCAAACTACAAGCAGAACAGATCATTTGGCAGGCTGGGCTTTATGAAGAGGAATGTGGCTTCAGAATTGGAGGAAGATTCATCAACAACCTGTGTTACACAGATGACAAAACCTCGCTTGCTGAAACTGAGGAGGAAGGATGTGAAATGTTTGATGCATAAGGTCAACAGCTGTAGTCTTCAATGTATATTGTTGCTCAATATCAAGAAAACAAATATTCTCACCACTAGGTCAATTGACAGCTTCATTATGAATGGAGAAAAGATTGAGATTGTTGATAACTTCAGCTTACTTGGTTCCACAATCAACGCTCTTGGCATCAGGAGTCAGGAAATCAAAAGATGAATTGCACTGGGAAAGTCTGTTGTTAGGGACTTCTCTAGAGTACTGAAGAGCAATGATGTAAATCTGGAGACTAAGGTGCACCTGATCCAGGCCAGGGTCTTCACAATAACTTGCTATGCATCAGAGATCTGGACAATGACTAAGGATGATAGAAGAAGGATAGATGCCTTTGAGTTGTGGTGCTGGGGAAGAGTGTTAAACATAGCATGGACTTAAAGAACAAACAGGTCGGTCCTGGAGAGGGTGAAACCAGGATGCTACCTGGAGGCAAGGATTTTGAAGCTCCAACTCACATAGTTTGGGCACATGGTCAGGAGGGAGAGGGACATCATGCTTGGAAGGGTGGACAACACAGGAGAAGATAACCCTGGATAAGATGAATTGAGTCAGTGACTTGGGAAATGGGATTAGGTCTATCATTGACTATAAGATTGGCTAAAGGCAGTGCACGGTTCAGAGCTAATACACATAGGGTTGCCTTGGATCACAGGTGACTTGCAAGCACATAATAACAACAGACAAACTTCATTATCTTTTAGCCTTATTGCTGTTTAGTCAGTCAAGATTTAGAAATCAACTATCATTGCCATCATGTCAGAACTGACACTACAGTGGGTTTTCAGTCTGTAAATCTCAAGGGAGAAGATTACCCATCTTTCTCTCATGGAGCTACTGGTAGATTCAAACTGCTAGCGAGTCTTAAATTCTGTCACCAAAATTCTGATGATGATTTAGTCTTTATTTTAGTTTTACATTAAGAAAGAAACATTAATATTCATACCCATCCTCTCACTATTCCTTCAGTATACCTGCTATTCTATCCATATTAATACCATATTTGGCCAGATTTCAATGTCCAAAATCATTACTGCTCATCACCACCCAATGAACAAATAATTTGTGTGAAAATATCTCACTTTGATTGGCAAACTCCATAGGAAGCCGGGTTGCTAAACCAAGACATCCCTGTCAGGCAATTTGAATCCACCAGCAGCTCCTTGGGAGAAAGATGGACAACCTCCTGTATGATTTACGGCCTCCAGAAAACCTGCTGGAGGGTCAGCTACAAGGTGGATGTGGAACTTGCAGGAAATGAGTACCTTCACTCAGATTTAGTGAACTCTGTGGATAACCTCTGATAACGACCACTTGCAGGTAATATCTTTTATTTTGCTGTATGGATGTTGACAAAATTTTCAATTTTTATGTTAAATAATTTTAATATAATATACTTTGATTAGAATTGTCTCACACTTTTTTTTCCCCTGCAACACAAGGCCGTGAAATTTTTAGATTGATTTTTCTCTGCCTCATTTCATAGAGCTTTTTATTCCTACTTTGGGTGCCACAATTAGTTCTTTATTTCAGAAAGACTATTTATCTGCATAATGGTTGTCTAGCCTCCAAATCTATTATCTCCTTTTACACTGCTTTAATCTCTTTTTCCAGTGCTTTCAAACTCATTATATGTTTATTGCTGTCTCCATTTTGTTCTTTAAAGGGCTATTATTTAGTTTCTCAATTATGTTACCTCTACAAACTTTTTATGTCACAGTTTTATTATTTGTTCATCCATATTTTATTTTACTGAAATTACAATATTAAGGCTTTCTTTAGTGCTATATGTTTGAAAGGAATATTACTGTGCATTTTCATTTATATTTTATTCTAGTGTTTTTGTTTTTAATTTAGATTTTTGGGTACTGAATTTCTTTTTTCTCCTTCTTTTCTCTACCCATATTTTCCTCCCTTTTCTGTAGTCTCTCCATTCATCTCATTCCCTCCCTCTTTATTTTTTTTGCCAACCTTTCTTCCTTCATTTCTTTCTCTATTTTTTCTTTCTTTTCTCTTTAACTTTCTTCTCCATTTTGATCTTCTTCCTCCTCCCCCTTTTTTTTTACATTTGTAGTACTACCTTTATATTTTTGTTTTGTTTTGTTATACTTAGCAGAAATTTCTAGATCTTTTATTTATCAAAGATAAGGGAAATGGGGCACATATCCTGAACACTTTTATTCTTTATCTATGATCTATTTCCTTCCAGCCTCACAGTTGAAAACTGAATATTTGGTTCTATTTGCTTTTCTGTAGTTTGACAGATTTGCAAGGAATAAATGTGACAAATGCTCCTATGTGCAATATTTTTGGATGGAATTTTCTTCTCTACTGGCTGTCAAGTCAGAACAAACTCATAGTTGACCCTGCAGTAGGTTGTCCCAAGCTATTAATCATATGGAAGGAAATTGCCCCTCATTCTGCAAGAGGGATACTAGTGTATTCAAATTGTTAAAGAGACATGGCATCTGGGTTAGCAGCACAACTTTGTATGAACCATCAGAACTTGTTCATAAGAAAGGATTAAAAATATCAATGAGGGAGTGAACATGGCGGCCTCGAAGGTGAAGCAGGACATGCCCCGGACAGGGGGCTACGCTCCGATCGACTACAAGCGGAATTTACCCCGTCGGGGACTGTCAGGCTACAGCATGTTTGCCATTGGCATTGGGACCCTGCTCTTTGGGTATTGGAGCATGATGAAGTGGAACCGAGAACGAAGGCGCCTGCTGATCGAGGACCTGGAGACCCACATTGCGCTGTTGCCGCTGTTACAGGCAGAGGCTGACAGGAGGGTCCTGCAGATGCTTCGGGAGAACCTGGAGGAGGAGGCCATCATCATGAAGGACGTGCCCGACTGGAAGGTGGGTGAGTCGATGTACTATACCACGCGCTGGGTGCAACCCGCAGTGGGTGAGCTCTATGGACTGCGGCCGAAGGAGGAGCTTGCCAATGCCTTGTACGGCTTCACATGGTACACATAGACGCCACCACCATCCCACCCTGTCCTTGGAGGAAAATAAATGGTCTAGAAACCAGAAAAAAAAATATTAATGAGATATTTTTGTGCCCTAGTTGTTTATCTCCTCCAGACAATCCCCCCCACCCCCACCCCGCAGTCTTGTGGACTTCAGTGTTACCTGTGAAGTGGGCAGTGGGTTTTAAGGCCACCTGAGGTGCCCCACTTTTCTGCCTGTGAAGATTTCTTTCTGCCCCCTCTGCGGGACCTCTGAATTATTCTGATCCCCCCCACACACACAGTCTTTGCAAGCACTTGTTATGCATCAGAGAGGTTGGACAATGACTAGGGAGAAGGAGAATTGATGCCTTTGAGCTGTGGTGCTGGAGAAGATACCATGAACTGCTAGGTACCATAGACTTCTAGGAAAAACAAATAGAATCATGCTTGAGAGGGTTAAACCAGGTGGTTCCTTAGAGGCAAGGATTCTGAGGCTTTGTCTAACATACTTTGGACATGTTGTAAGGAGGGACCGGTCCTTTAAGAGGGACATCGTGCTTGGGTGGGTGGAGGGACAGCGCAGAAGGGGAAGGCCCTCTATGAGGTGGATTATTCAGTGACTGGGGTAATCGGGTTGGGTGTGTCAGAGGCAGTGCAATTGGCACAGGACAGAGCAGAGTTTAGGGCTGTTGTACATAGGCTTGCTATGAGTCGCAAACGACTCGACAGCACATAACAACAGCAACAACAGTTGTTTACTGTTTATAAGGTTTTCAAAAGATCTAATGCTGCTGAAGATCTTTCAAAAATGGCTAGAAGAGTATATAACTAGGGAACTACCAGAAGTTCAAGCAGGATTTAGAAGAGGTCACAGCACCAGGGATATCATTGCTAATGTCAGATAGATTCTGGCTTAAATAGCAGAAGAATGCCTTTTTGTGTTTTATTGACTATGCAAAGGCACTTGACTGTGTGGATCATGAGAAGTTATGGCAGATATTGAGAAGAATGGGAATCCCCGACACTTAATTGTGCTCATGCAAAACCTATTCCTAGACCAAAAGGCTGTGTGTGAACAGAACAAGGGAACTCTACATGCTTTAAAATTAAGAAAGGTATGTGTCAGAGTTGTATTCTCTCTCCATACCTATTCAATCTGTATGCTGAGCAAATTATTCAAGACCCTGGACTCTATGAAGAAGAATGTGGCATCAAGATCGGAGAAAGACTCATCAACAACCTTTGTTTTGCAAATGATACAAGTTTTCTGAAAGTGAGGAGGACTTGACGCACTTGTCGCAGAAAATCAAAGAATACAGGCTTCAATATGAATTACATCTCAATGTCAATGAAACAATATTTTTTACCACTTGACCCACAAGCAACATCATGCTAGAAGGAGAAAAGGTAGAAACTGCCAACAACTTCATCTTACTTGGTTTCACAATCAACACCTTTGGTACCAACAGTCAGGAAATGAGGAGACTTATTGCACTGAAGAAGGCTACAATCAAGGACCTTTCTAAACTATTGAGGAGTAATGATGTCTGTTTGAAGACTAAGGTGAATCTGATTCAGGCCATGGTCTCTTCTGATTACTTGCTATATATCTGAGAGCTGGACAATGAATAAGAATGATGGGAGAATTGATGCCTTTGAGCTGTGGTGTGTTGGAGAAGAGCTCTGAACATTCATGGTCTGCCAAATGAACAAAGAAATATATTCTGGAAAAGGTGCAGCTGAGTAGTTTCTTGGAGGCAAAGATGAAAAAATTTCATTTTATATACTTCATACATGTTGCTAGAAAGAGTTAGTTATTCCTTGGAGAGGGACATGATGCTCAGAAAGGCAGAGGGTCTGCGAAGAAGGGGAAGATCCTCAACCAGGTAGATGACACAGTGACTGCCACAATGGGCTTTTGTGTGTCTAGAGTTGTGAGGATGGCACAGGATAGGACAGGGTTCAGGTCTGTTGTTCATAAGGCTGCTATGGGTCATACTTGACAGCACCTAACAACAGCAACAGCAAGTTGTTTTTGAATATCATACCTTTTGTTGACAGATTTTCATAGTTTTCAGTATTTAGAGTTTCTATTGTTTTGAAAAAAAATTTAGAAGATCTTTTCCTTAACTAAAAAGTCACAACAAAAAAGAGGGTTCTCTTTAAAACATAATCCATTATGTTATTTCTACTGCAATATAATAGGTCAGTTTTGTCAACATTTTACATGGCTGTTTTATTTTAATAAGACTACTTTTCTCAGGAAACCAATGCAGCTTTATGGCATTTCAAATGCACTTATAAGCCACACCAAACTACATACGCTTCTCAACTAAGCAGCATAAGCCAGGAATTGACATATGTTTAACAATTTAAAATACACTAACACTCTCTGGTGGCTTAGTGGTAAGAAGCTGTGCTGCAATGCTGATGGCACACTGTTCAATTCAGCCAGCTTCTCTGCTGGCGAAAGATGGGCAATCTTCTGTGAGATTATCTGCCTCTGAAAAGCCATTGGAGGTCAGCTATGACATTTCTCTCTCTCTCTCTCTCTCTCTCTCTCACACACACACACACACACACACACTCTTTCTTGGAGGAGGTATAAACAGGGTTTTCCTTTGAGGTAAGGATGGTGAAACTTAGTCTTACCTACTTTGCACATGTTTCAGGGGGCATCAGTCCTTAGAACAAACATCGTGCTGGGAAAAGCAGAAGGTCCACAAAAGAAAGACCCTCAACAAGATGGACTGACACAGTGACTGCAGCAATGGCTTACACAGGGTGGAAATCATGGGAATGGCATAGCATAGGGCAATAATTTGAGTGATCCGTTTTGCTTAGAGGTTCACTGTAAGTTGTAGTCAACTCAACAGCACCGAAAACCAAAATACTTTTAAAACGTGTTTTTAGCTAGAATCTTTCTTTTCTTTGGTATAAAATAATACCACCACCAAGAGAACATAACTTCATCTTTTTTTTTCAATATTGATGCAATCACCCTAACCAGAAATGTCAAAATTCTAAAGTTCCTTAAATAATACTGGTAGGAAATACTCATGAATTATTCCTAATTTTAATGGAAATTAATCTGATGTTTTGTGTTTGGGAATAATGTTTGTTTTTGTTTTTGTTTTTAAATATAGTTTTACATGTTTGATGGTCACTTTTGATTTTAGATTTTTATTTGTGATTTCCTATGGTTGCTGAATTCTGCCAGTAATTAGTTGGGAGTTTTATTTCATTTTATGGTTTAAAGTAGATAATCCTACATCTACTTTCAATAATTACTGCAAACAGAAGGCAAGTTGATTACTGGTTTACTCTGTTTATTTAAACACATATAAAGTTTAATATGGCCTATAAATACATTTGAATTTTTTGTAATAGCATTTGCTTCTTGAGAAGAGCAGTTTTAGTATAGACAAAATCTATTTTGGTCTACTTGTCTTAGATGTTTTCTTTTTTAAAAAAGATAACATTAATGGTTAGTTTTAATTTTTTGGTATTTAAATTGGATTTTTTGGTTTGTTTGAAGACAAGCCTTTTAATTTTATAGTAGAATGTTTAATAGACTGTAAATGGTAATAATAGGATGACTTTCTATCTCTCTTATGCATGGTCTTGTATACAATATTATTAACACGGCTGTTGATGTGTGCCCTCAGGAAGTCATTTATAAAGAAAATGTAATTAGATTCCTAGCTTGTATGATCCACGTTATTACTGATAATTTTATCATTCTTTTGAAACAGACCTCTATTTTATGACCTCATCTCAAAGAGAAATTACATTTCAATTTTTTAAAAAAAAAAAACAACAACTTAACTTTCTACCATTGCTGAAAGAAATTAATCCATTTAAGGAATATTTTATTTTAGATTCTCAGAAAATGTTCTGATTTGTAACATTTAGTTAGAGCACACCAAGGAGAAGTGATCACAAGTCTAGTTTACCTTGAACAAGTCTAATTGATACTTATTCTTCCAACATCCTGTCTGGCTTAGTATTTATCATGCAATTATTATTATTAATAATTTGTTATTGTTGTTGTTGTTATGTGCCATCGAGTCACCTGTGACTCATAGCAACTCTATGTACAACAGCCCCAAACCCTGCTCTATCCTGTGCCAATCTTACTTTTTCTGACAAACCTATCCCCATTACCCTAGTCACTAAATCAGTCTATCTGATCATCGAGGAGTCATCCTCTTTGTGCTGTCCCTCCTAAGTATGATGTCCCTCTCCAAGGACTGGTCCCTCCTTGCAACATGTCCAAAGTATGTCAGACAAAGCTTCAGAATCCTTGCCTCCAAGGAGTAGCCTGGTCTCATCTTCTCTAGGACAAACTTGTTTGCTTTCCTACCAGTCCATGGTATATTCAATACTATTCTCCAGCACCACAGATATCAACTCTCCTACCGTCATCCCTAGTCATTGTCCAGCTTTCTGATGCATAGCAAGTAATTGAAAAGCCCATGGACTGGATCAGGTGCACCTGTCTCCAGACTGAAACCATTGCTCTTCAGTACTTTGGAGAGGTCTCAGACAGCAGACTTTCCCAATGTTTTTATTTCCCCATCTTTTTATTTCCTGGCTGCTGGTACCGAGAGTGTTGATTGTTAAGCCAAGCCAGCAGTCTCGATCTCTTCACCATCCATTATGATGCTGCCAACTGGCCCAGTGGTGAGAATCTTTGTTTTCTTGATGTTGAGCTTCAATCCATATTGAAGGCTACAGTCCTTGACCTTCTGCAGCAAGCAATTCAGGTCCTCCTCAGTTTCAGCAAGCAGGGTTGTATCATCTGATAAGGCCGAGCGTTGATGCCATATTTCTTCTCACAGAGCTCAGTCTTCTGGATAATCTGTTCCACTTATAGATTGAAAAGATTTGGAGATAGGATACATCCTGGCTTACACCCTTCCCAATTTTGAACCATGCAGTGTTTCCTTCCTCCATTCTGATGACTGCCTCCTGGTCCAAGTATAATAATACTAAATTAAATACTTAAATTAGCCACTATTA